TGACGTGTTCCAGACCCGCAGACGCGCGTTTTGTCTCACGGCAGCTGCAGAAGGTAGGCATCAGTATATCTGCTGTACGGCAGGCCCCGTATCTCGGCGTGGACCTTGGGAACGGTCGGCCAGCCAGGCAGGTGCGATACAAGGGGCAGGCGAAAGCCAGCGGTATGAATGCCAAGATTCGGCGTTTTGCCCGCGCGTCCAAATAGTATCTTGTGACAGGCCGGCTAGAGAGAGCTGGCGCCCAGGCTGCAGGAGCGCACGGCCACCAAGTGCACGGAGCGTTTGGGTGTTATCGCCAACAGTTTCGTCGTCGTCTTGGGGCCTCCTTGGGCTCCAAGGCCAAAATGGGATGCCGCACGACTCTTCTCGATCTTAAAGTTCCAGGGCAAGATCCAGGAGTTAAGTGTCCTAGAGACGCTATTCGTATATGGCTGTCTGTCTAGTTCAGTACCCCTGCTATTCGGCCTATGGTTAATTTGGTGTGGCCCCGTATCGTCGAACAGTTTCGTAGCGCATCGCCTTCGCAGGTTTCTCGGCAGATCAGGGGGCCCATAGCGGCCATTATTGGTTACCTTCTGGAGGCTGGTTGGGACCCGCAGGCGCCGAACCTTTGGGACACCTCTGATTTCACGTGGAGGTTTTCGGAGTCCGACCTCTCGGGCTTTGAGGACTACTCGGACATTCTTGACGATTTTGAATCCGCATTTCAAGCTAGGTGCTGGTCTCGCGCGTCTATTCACTATCGCGGGGAGGGGGTGGCTGACGGTGTCGACAAGTATAGCGACCGTAAGTTCATCCAGGGTCTCCGCCAGTGCAAGAACGGCCATAGGCTCGCGGAGGTCATGGTTAACATCGCTACAGGGGGCTTCTGGCCACGACAGCGAGTCGCCGACGAGACCAGAACCAAGATAGATGTCCAATGTCATCGGTGCCACGACGGTGCTGAAACAGCGTTTCACCGCTTCTGGACTTGCGCGTGCAATAGGAGTGCGAAGGCCTTTGTCGATTCCGACTACCTGGCCCCGCGCGCTCAGACGTTTCACGAGAGCGAGGCTTGCTACTGGCTCCGAGGCATGATCCCGAAGGCTTGGACGGCTATCCCCCCACCTTCGGACGCGCCCTCTTGGACTTTCTTCAACGGTACTAACGACGAGCAGTTGCATGGTTCCTTTTTGGGCCGTGGGCGTGAAGATAGACCGCTGGTGATTTTCGGTGATGCCAGTGGCGGGCCCGATGCACGCGAACCTCGCTTTCGTCGCATCGGCATCGCAGTCGCCAGTATGAGCTCCTACAGTCCCCCAAGCGTACGCTCTGCCATCCTTGGACCTCTTCCTGGGCGTAGGCAAACAGTACCTCGTGGGGAACTCTACGGGCTCCTTTTGGCCATTATGTACAGTACGGGACCTCTGATCTACGTCACAGATAACTCTGCCGTCGCCGACGGATGGTATGAGGGGCTCTACCTTGAATCATCGGGGGACAACATGGGATCTGGGACATGATCAGGAAGCAGCTCAGGGACCAGGACCGTGACACGTCACATCCCATTTGACGGCAGAAGAAGAATTAGAAAAGAAGGTACCTCTGTTTCTCACGGTTGGCAATACGGTGGCGGACGTACTGGCTGGAGAGGCCGCGAAGTCCGCTCGACTCCCAGAGGCTCTGCGAGCGAAGGTCTGGACGGTGGAAAGAGACACCCTGTTCCTCAGGCGTCGCCTCCTCCGCGCGGGCCTTGAGGCCCTCAACGCTGCAGCTGCTTCGAAGCCCCCCACCTCGAGGAGTTCGACACAGTCGGGGCCTTCTCTTCCTCCTCCTCCCCCCCCTCCGCCATCAGTCAATGTTGTCACTGTGTTCGAGACAGACCACGCTCTGGACGAGAGCGGGAAGAGGTGCCGTCGGTGTAGGGGATCTGCCACAGACGCGGCCGTGTACAGGTGGCGTCGGTCCCCGTGCTTTCTGTTCACTCCTGGGGATGCTCATGTTTTCCACCTCCCTGTCGGTCAGCACTTATATATAGGTGGGGGCTGGGTGCATGACACACATCTTATGTCATGTCATAGCATCCTCGGCATATGGTTCTGCAGTAGTTGCGGTTGCTATAGTAGTGAGCATAATACTCCAGGTCTCCAGGACCTTTGTAAGCCTCGTCAGCTCACAGATACTCGGAGGGAATATCTTCGACGAATGAAGCGTGGCGAATGGCCGAAGGCCTTGACTCGTGCCCAGCAGGCAGCAAGGGCAGCGAGGTAGTTTCGGATGGATCACTCCGTGATAGCGCATTCTCATTCTCATTCTCCTCCTCCTCCTCCTCCTGAAAGGCTCCGTAGCCATTTCGGCCCAAGCCGTCCTGGCCCACTGGCCGGGACTGCTTCCCCGCGCTCCGGGCCGGCGCGGCGGCGGCGAGCCACGGCGGAGAGCCGATGCTCCGACTTCCCACCGGCGCGAGCCCGCTGTCGGAACAGCTCGGTGAGAGGCCGCAGGGCTTCGTGAGCGGCTTCGAACTCGCCATCGTTCGGACGTCCATTCCCTGTGTTTTTTTTCGGTTTCGTGCGTGGCTGTTTCGCCAAATGATCCAGGATGCTCCTCGATGGTCCCCACCGAAGGAAAAATGCACACGTCCGAGCGATGCCAAGTCAAAGCGGAGGCCGTCGGCGTCGTCGTGCACGATGGCGCCTGCGGGGCCTCGGCCTGGCTGCGGTATCATGGACACGTTGATCGATCGGAGGGGCTCGGCGTGCGGGCAATGTCTTTATCCACATCCAGTGCGCCTTGGAGTTTCGGACCCTCCTCCCAAGAAACATGAGGCGCACTGGATGTGGATTGATAATCTGCCTCCAAAAGGCTCAATTTCTATCCGTATCCAGTGCGCCTCGGCCTTGCGGAGCCCCTTGCAAGAAAGTCCAAGACGAACTGGATAGGATATAAATATTGCCCGCACGGCGAACGCGTACATCCCCGAGGCTCGGAGGGAGCACACGGGCCGGGGCTCTGGGAAGCGCACACGGACACCGCCGCGGAGGCGGCTGCTGGCGGACGGGCGCCTGGATCGAGCACAAGGGGCCACCGCAAGGGCACGCGGGACCAGGCCACGGCTCCGCTGCCTGGCAGGTGGGAGAAACGTTGGGTCCAAGAGTGGAGAAGGCCAGGGCCAGAGTTGCAGTGACGTGAACCTTGGCCTCAGGGCAGCGCCGAGGCTGGCGCCGAGGCATATCCTCGACCTGCGGACCTGGCAGGCGTCGGAGGCCTCGGCGATGAGCCTCCAAGACAAGACGGAGGCGCAGGGCTCGCAGTGTCAGCACCAGGAGTCGAACGAGACGCAGGGCTCGCAGTACCAGCACTAGGAGAAGCCCATCAGCGACACGGCGTTCATGAGCATGGATGCTCTGCAGGTGGCGCTCACCGAGAAGGGGCTGGAGGGAGCCATGAAGCAGGAGTTCGACTACCTCCAGGAGAAGGCTGCCCAGTACGCGTTGGAGCACTGGGGCATCATCCTCACGGAGGGTAGCGTCCAGGAGCATCCCATGGAGGAGCACTTGGAGGAGGTGACGGTGAAGGACGAGCTGATCAAGAAGAACATGTCCACCGAGCAGCTGAAGGCCATCACCCTGAAGAGGAAGCTGTCGAGGCGGTTGCTGGAGACGAAGAAGCGCATCAGGTACATGAACAACCAGGTGGAGGAGAAGGGTGCCTCGAGGGCGGACGGGAGAAAGTGATGTTCGACCGGAGTGGCACGCTGGATGTGGGTTGTGGGCGGAAGGACTGCAGGCCGTATTCTGCAGAGCGTTCTTATGCATACTCCTCCACGGCTAGCGGGGTGGGTGAGCCCTACCACACGTCGGTCGCCAGCGACATCGGGAAGGGCGACAAGGAAGGCGAGGAAGATGGAGAGGATTCCAGAGTAAAGCTGGAATCCTCTCGAGGAGGACTCCTACGAGGAGGAGTACGCCAAAACAGTTTCGGAAGAGTTCAACATCGGCAACGATAGCATCGCTGAGGGCATTGAGAAGATCAGGAAACACCAAAAGGACAAGAACAAGAAGGACCAGAAGAAGAAGGAGCAGCTAGTCAAGGAGGCCATCAAACCCTTCGGGCGCGACTGGGCGGAGCAGGATCTGAACGAACATCTCCTGAAGGACGTGGCGCTGCAGGATGCTGTTGGCGCCTGAATCCTTCTGGCTGCCACTAGCGTCGACAGCCGCCAGCGTTACGACGCAAACGGGATAGTGTGTGCTCTACTCCGGGTTCGAGTCTGCGAGCTCATTCGTCTTGTGCTTCGCCTTCAGCTGTGTTGGGGGGGGGGGGGGGCAACACTTGTCATCCTCTGCGCTGTCAGGGACCCGTGGGGGCCCTGAAGGTGTGGCTCGGGCCTGTGGGCCGTCCTGGGGCGGTTTCCCGCGGAGGAGGAGGAGGAGGAGGAGGGAGGAGGAGGGAGGAGGAGGGAGGAGGAGTCCGAGGAGGAGGAGGAGGAGGAGGAGGAGGAGGAGGAGGAGTGGGCCCGCTTTGGCCCTTGGTGGGCCCTTGCCCTTTGTTGGCGCCTGGCCGCCCCGCTCTCCTGCTCCGCCTCTGGCCCTGGGCGGGCGGGGCAGCCGCCTTGCCCTGCGTGGCAGGCCTTGCTGGAGCAGGGCGCGCAATCGGTGCCCTCAGAGCCCTCCTCCCGAAAGCCTGGGGACCCACAAGTGTGCCCCCCCCTCCTACATCTTGTCCTTCTCCTTCGCCTCTTCCTCCTTCCTTCAATCTTCGAACCCCAATCCACGACGGTCCGATAGGAGGGGGCGGTGGGGACAAGCAGGGGAAGGTAGGAGGAAAGATGAGAAGGGTGAGGATTGGCAAGGGCGGCGGGGAGCGAGTTGTCGATCCTCGGAGATTTGACCCTGGCCAAGGACCCCCCTTCTACCGACCCCAGAGACTACGACGGCTCGATGAGGCCAAAGGTCCTTGACAGGCGCCGAAGACGACGACGGCCCGACGAAGCCGAAGAACGCTCAAGCAGCAGGGGGGTCCTTCTTCGACCGACGCCGCCGCGTCCTGGAACGCCCGCTGGGGCTGTTGCCTTCGGGCTGCCGCCCTGCGCGGGCGCTGTCTCCATCGACATCGTCGTCAGCGTCGTCGACGTCGTCGCCGCCGCCGTGGTCGGCGTCGCTGTCGTGTTTGTCGCCGCCGTCGTGTCGTCGCCGCCGTCGTCGCCGCAACCGCCGCCGCCTCCACCGTCGTCGCGGTCGTCATCGTCGTCGTCGAGGATAACGACGACGACGAGGAGCTTTGACGAGGTCGCGGTCGACTTTCGGCGGCCTCTCGGCATCCCTCGGTGGCCCGAGCATCGTCAACCTTCGGATGCCCTCGGCAGCCTCGACTGCCTGACGTCGTCGTCGTCGTCGTCGTGGTCGAATTCAAGAGGTCTTCGCTGGTGTTTGTCGAGATCCTGTATCGGTTAATCGTCACACGGGGCATACCCAACCCACCGTATCCCCCCGACCAATCGCCAAGATGCCACAATCATGGAGCTCGTCCTTTCATGCCTCAGAAATGCTGAGCTTTCACGGTGGCAAGGCCTGCCGCAGGCAGCTGTAAGCAATCCGCCCGACACCTGGGGATACAAGCCTAGATCCTCTGCCCCCCCCTCCATCCGATCCTCTGCCAGGGAATTAGGACCCATCCGCGGCGACGACGGAACCGAGAACCGACCGCACAGACAGAAAAACCGACGCCGACCACACCCGGCGGCCCGAACACAACCCAGCAGGACGCCGCGGCGCACCAACCGACCAAACCGAACCAGCCGAATGCAGCCGACCGTGACGCAAGCGAACTGAGCGACACGAAAACAACCGGGACTTACGCGAGATGGCATCGCGACCTCACACGCAGTGACTCTCGCGGGCCCTCCGCACGGCACGCTGCATTGGAAACGAGGGCACCCACGCGCGACCGCACGCGACGAGCTTCCGCGCCACTGCCGGGAAAGACGACCCCCGTTCTGTTGCGCCGCGCACACGTGGACCCCGCGATCGCCCGAGCTGGCCGTGCCACGCGCATCTGGCCATGTTCCGGTGGCAACTCCTGGGAACCTCACATACCCTCTCGTCGGCGCTTGCGAATCGACGCTAAATCGACGCTGAATCGACGCTCGTCGACGCCAAGGGGGCCCGACAACTGGGCCCCAGAGGCCGGGATCGAGGACAGACGCCCACCTCACCGCAGTCGACCTCCGCACTCGACCTCCTGCCGACTCGGATCGGACGGGAACGGGTATCGGATCACGCCGCGACGGCACGGGTCAGAACCGAATCCGGCTGCGCCGATCTGCGAAGCTGCGCAGCGCAGACGTCGGGCTGTATCGCATCGCCAGGAGAAACGACGAGCCTCGAACGTGTATCCCTATCCCTCAAAGATCGGCAGGCCCAAGGCGACGCCAACCTTAGGGACGTGCCCTCAGAAACTGAGGAAATCCTGACGATCGGCACCGAGACAAGGAGACGCCGAACATGGGGACAGGGACAGGCTCCGAGCTCGAATCTTAAGAGCGCGAGGCATGGACGGGGAGGCGCCCGTGCACCCAGGAGAGCGCCTGGCGGAGGGGCCGAAGCTGGCGGCACGCAAACTGGCGGCCTGCATGCAGCATGCAGGCCGAATCGACGCGTGATTTGCCACCGAACACCTCCCTGGCGTCCAGCCTGGGACGCGCAAGTGCATGCTGGTACCATACGTCCTCCTTGGAGGCGCGCGTGTGGCCCCCCCCCCCCCCCTCCCCCCCCCCCACCCCCCCCACCCCCACCCCACCCCCTCACTCACCCTCACACACACACACACACACTCTCACACACACAAACACACACACACACACATATAGTGCACCCATCTTGTAGCACATTGCTTCCCGAGCGGTGTGGCCAGACAGGTCGGCCACGACGAACATACTACACGATTCCTCGGTGCGCGCGTCGCCCCTGGTGGGCCGGCGCGCACATGGCATTGGTATGTTGGGGTGACGCCGACGGCCCGCTTCTCTGGAGACGACGCCAGAGCGATGATGACATCGGGCGAAGATCCATCGAGGATCTCTGGGATACCGCGGCTCTGGAGGCTGCCTCGGGCGCCGCGGCCTTCTCGGAGCGTTCTTGAACGCTCTGAGAGCGTTCCGGAACGCGCTGGAACGGATCCATCCCCCTTCTGGCCTCGTCCGATCCCTCTCGAGGCCCCCTCCCAGGCGTCCGGCCCGCCCCTCTCGAGGAGATGGGGTCGGAGTACGGCCGGACCTGGGACAGAAAAACATCCTTCGAGAGCATGCGAGTTTCCGCTGGCCACACGGAAGAACATTCGAGGGTGCCCCCCCCAGGATGCACAAGAATATCCAAGAAGCACGACGGCCATAGGCCACCCTCCCCGAACCGACCTCGATCTTTACCTCGGTCGGACCGTAGATGGGGTCCGAAGATCGCGCCGCAGCGACGATGCATCGCCGATGCATCGGCGATGCACCAGCGACGTCGGCGATGCATCGGCGCCGTCGGCGTGGAGAAAATCGGGCTCCACATCGGACGGGTATCGGCGATATGCGTCGCCATCCTCCGCCCCCATGCACTCTGACGACATTCGGGAGGCCTGCAGTGGATGCGAAATACGGATGCAAAGGCCTTGGAGGACTATGTGAAAGTTTTTCGAACGAGACTGGCCAGCGAAAGTCGCCAAGGATGGGCCGAGGAGGCCCCGATGCGAGGGTACCCTTGCGAAAACTGCCCATCCTGACTGTGCGGACTGACTGCACTCCGACGCCACTTGGGAGGCCGAGAGCCTTCGCCCCTCCGCCGAGAGGGAGGCCCTGGCACAGGGGGCGTGGACAGGCCCCCCCCCCCAGCTCTGCGAGGTGGCAGCCGGGGAGGGGGGCGGCTGCAGCGGCACGTCGGCCGCCGCAGGCCCTCCGCCCTGTTGCCCTCCCCGCCCCACCCCTCCCGGCGCGGGCATCGTGCTGCCGTGCAGTCGGCGCGCAGAAAGAGGGCGCACGGTGAGGATGCGAGGGCTGATGGCCCGATTTCCCACCACCACTGCTCCAGGCAGCGGCTGGGACAGAGGAGGGGGAGGTTAAAGAGGAGGAGGAGGAGGAGGAGGAGGAGGAGAAGGAGGAGGAGGAGGAGGAGGAGAGGAAGAGGAGGAGGAGGAGGAGGAGGAGGAGGAGGAGCAGGAGAAGGAGGAGGAGGAGGAAGAGGAGGAGGAGGAGGAGGAGGAGGAGGAGGAGGAAAAAGCGAAGAAGGAGAAGGGGGGAGGAGGAGGAGAAGGAGGGGGAGGACGAGAAGGGGGAGGAGGAGGCGCAAGAGGAGGAGGAGGAGGAGGAGGCGGAGGAGGAGGGCGAGGAGGAGCGGGAGGAGGAGGATGAGGAGGAGGAACAGAAGGACGAGGGCGAGGAGGAGGAGGAGGAGGAAGAGGAGGAGGAGGGGGAGAAGGAGGAGGTGGAGGCGGAGGACCTCTCCATCCTCCCTTCTCCCCCGTCCTACCTATGGTAGTGGTGGCGGTGAAAGGCCGTGTCGGCACTTTTCGATCAGGGCGCGGCCTGCGAACGTGGCCCAGGATGGGCCGACGGGAACGGATTCAAGGGGAACCTTGCAAGGCCGCTCATCCATGACGTCCCTGATGCGATTGTCAGGATTCTGCTGTTCCCATCGTACTTAAGGAGCACATCCCCGAAAGCATTCCGAGCCCCCAGAAAAATATCGAAACAGTGTCCAACGAGTGTCGCCTCCCGGGGCCCGACACGTGAAAACCCTCCAATCTCGGTACCTTCCTGGTGCTCGAGACTCTCTCTGGTGATCAAGACTACGAGTAGGTCGGACCATCATGTCAGGGGCGCGTAGAGCCGAGGCAAGAAGAGCTCTCCCGGCCACGCCGAGCCAGGGCCAAAAAAGACAGGTCCCCCGGCACAACACCGAGTGGAGCGGCCCGACCACCCGAGAGCGTTGGTGCCCGTTCCAGGGGGGGCCCGCGTGGCCCCTGGCGCTGCCCGGCTGGAGTCTGATGCCGACCAGATCTCGAACACGCTTGGGAGCAGAGCGTCGGAGGGGCGAGGAGGAGGAGGAGGAGGACGAGGAGGGAGAAGGAGGGAGGAGGAGGAGGAGGAGGAGGAGGAGGAGGAGGAGGAGAAGGAGGGGGAGGAGGAGGAGAGGGAAGAGGAGGGGGAGGAGGAGGAGGAGGAGGAGGAGGAGGAGGAGGAGGAGGAGGAGGAGGAGGAGCAGCAGGAAGGCCGAGGTGGAGCAGCAGGGAGGGCAAGCAGGCGGCCCACACGCAGGAGGGGCTGGCTCCAGAGTCGCCGCCCGAGGCTCCCACGGAGCGGACGTCGAACGTGGGGCCCACGCGCGGGAGAGGCCGGTCTCAGTGTCGCCGCCCGAGGCTCCCGCGAGCGGACATCCGACACCGCCACGTGCTCCCCGGACCCCTCTCGAGGCGCATCCAGCGGCGGCGCCCTGACCAGAATCTCGAGGCGCATCCTGCGGCGGCGACGAGGTGCCTCCCAGGAGGCCCGGGAAAGGGGGAAACGAGGGGAGGGTAGCAGTATCGCATCGCTACCCGTTCCTCCCCTGAGATCATGCTGCCCCCATCGTGCCTCAGGGCCACATCCCAGACAGCATCTCGAGCACCTAGGAGAGGATCGAAACAGGGTCGAACGAGCATCGCCTCCAAGGGCCCGACGCGCGAGAACCCTCCAATTTCTATATTCTTCTGCTACTCGAAATTCTTGGTGATCACGGCTAAAGTGGGTTGGAACATCACAAACCCTGAGAACGAGCCCTTCCTGAGCCCCCGAAGCCGTCCTCAACTTCCGCGTCTTGCCTGCCTCGGGGATCTTCTGACCCAGGTCATTCCAGACCCGAGTCCGCCAGGCCTTGCAGAATCATGTAATATCCTGCAAGGCCCTGCGCCCAAACCCGGGTCAGTGCACAGGATCCTGCAGGATCCTGCAGGATATCCTGCACCCACAAACCCCGGGTCAATGCAAACCCTGGCCCTGCAGGATTTTGCAGGATATCGGGCGATCTGGCTGACCCCCGCTTGCATCGACCCCTGTCTCATGGCTCCCGACCCCGAATCCGTCCTCAACCTCCGCATCTTTGAAGGGGCCCCAGGTCACACAAATAAACACACACACAAACTAAAAGGATTCCCCATATGTGTTCTCACATTTGTTCTGCGTCCTTGTGTTCCCCCCCCTTCCCATATCTTCCTGGGCGTGGGCGATTCATTGTGTCTGTGTGTTTTCTCCCCTCCTGAATCTCGCCTGCCCTCCCCCGTCGTCCGCCCCTCCGCTTTGGACACCCGAAATGGGTACCGAAAGAATGGGCAACATGCCCAACAACAAATGTTGTCCCGAACCAACAGCGGCCGCTGTTGGGCAGGCGGCCTCCTGTCTCGAATGGACACAGGCCGCGGCGGCGTGGACAGCGAATCCTGTTCAGAATGAACAGGAACTGCTGTCGGGCATTGTACCCATTCTTTCCGTGCCCATTTCGGGCGTCCAGATCCCCCGTCGTCCCCGGGCGTCCAGATCCCCCGTCGTCCGCCCCTCCGCCCCTCCGCCGCTCCGCCGCCCCTCCGCCGCCCCCGCGCCTGTCGCCGGGGCCGCTGCCCGCGGCGGCGGGCGCCGTGGCGGGAGCGCCGCGCGCCGAGCTGCGGTGCGGGGGGGCGGGGTCCAGACAGAGGGGGGGAGGCAGGGGGGGAGGGGGGAGGGCCTCTTCTCCTCCTCCTTCCTCCGCATTCCTCCTTCCTCCTCCTATCCTCCTTCCTCCCTCCTCCCTCCTCCTCCTCCCCTCCTCTTCCTCCCTCCCATCCTCCTCCTCCTCCTCCTCCTCCTCCTCCTTCCTCCTCCTCCTTCTTCCTCCTCCTCTTTTTCCTCCTCATTTCCTCCTCCTCTCCTCCTCCCTCCCCCTCCTCCTCATCTCCCTCCTCCTCCTCCTCCTCCTCCTCCTCCTCCTCCTCCTCCTCCTCCTCCTCCTCCTCCTCCTCTGTCGTTGTCCCTGAGTTCTCTTCTCCGGCGGCCGTTTCGTCGGCCCGGCGCGCAGGGGCAGGAGGCCCCGGATGGGGGGAGGGGGGGTCGAGGGTCCAGGGGGGAAGGAAAGAGGGAGGGATGGTGGATGGTGTTGGTGCATCGGCGAGCCCGCCGCGCCACGGCGCTGCAGCCAACACTGCCTCGGCCAGCCACAAAATACCAAAATAACGACATATGACAGCACAATCCATCCAAGTTTACACTGGCACATCGCAAGCCTCGGAAGGCCTCGTTACTACTTTCCACCTCCGACCGTCGCCTGCACCTTGGATACTGCATATGGCTCTACGTGGAGCGTCGGGATTGGATGGGTTGGGTCATGCCGGATGGGGACGCGGAGCGCTTCTTACATCTATGGCCAGTTTGGCCTTCGGCGCAGAGCGTCCGCCATGCTGTGAACCACGGAGTGATAATTGCTCCCCCACCCCTCACTCATCATATTGCACACAAATTGCACACAACCGTTTCCAAGTGTTTTCGCGCATGTTGCTTGCTCTGTTTCTGTGCCTGCCCCCAACTGCTCACCACACTTCCGCAAAATACCTTGACAACCTGCGAAAAGTATCTTACCAGACACAAGGCTTCAGGAGCCCTGAAATGAAACGGGAAGTTGGGAGAGCGGGGCGGAAGGATAGCGACGACTGCAATCGTGATGAGCGGGGCGCGGGGATGTAGAGTGGAGTGGGGTGGAATGGGCAAGGGTAAGGCCTCAGGAGGAGGAGCGGCAAGGATAACAGAAGAGGAGCCCGAAAGAGTGCTGAGGGCGGGGGGCGCGCGGAAGAATCTGGAGGAGGGACTGGGAATATTTTGGGAGAGATGCGGAACGCGAGCGGGAAGGGGTGGATATTGTTGGGGTGGGATGGGGCGGCCTGGGGCGGCGTGGGCGGAATGCGAAGAACTGAAGAATTGCACAAAATGGAAAACGATCGAAATGACAACAAATATAATGGGAAAGAGTCGAGAAGACTTAGGAAAAACATTGAAACATGGGGGGTGGGGCGGGGGGGGGGGTGAGCGTGGACTGGCGCGGGAAACGGAACGCGGGGGAAATTGAAGGAACTCGAAAGCTTCCCGTGACCTCTGGGGGACCTCGGAATGACCCCGATGACCGCCGAGCAGTTCCAGAGGCTCCGAAAACATGCGGGAACGCCCCAGGGGCCTCGCCGAGGGAGGCTTTCATTCGAAGCCTGCACGAAAACCTGGGCCAATGGAGTACGCGCGTCTCAAAGGCCGGCAAACCGGGCCCCGGCAAACGGCGGACCGTCGGCCTGGCCAGCGGCAACGCCGGCGACGCGCGCGCCG